CCCTGATGATGGAGGCAGTATGACCTCTGAAACGTTGGTTAACATCGACCAGACTACACAGCGCAACAACTCAGAAGACAGAAATATTCAATATAATTTTAGTCTAATTTGTATGATAAAGATGGCCTTCAACTTGAGTTGCGAGGCTTTTGGGGCAGCCTATATTTCCCATTTTATACGCGTAGTGATTTATTTGCTCTGTACTTCATTATGATCTTGCTTTCTTTCTTTGAATTTAAGTCTTTTGGTTAAAGTCTTCTGATAGCTCGATTTTTGCAGCTACCTTCATTTATCTTTTTCCGCTGCCGTTTGTTCGTTAATTTTAGAAGGGTCTATTTCGCTGGATTTAACTTCAAATCGACCAGGTCTGCATTCTCCGTTCATTAAGAATTGCAACAGTTCAGTTAGACTTAATGAAATCCAATTCGGATTGCCACGTCAGGAAATTCTGTACGTCACACAATTTTAATTTTAAAGTTAACTGCAATTACAGTTGGAATTTTGGGGTACAAGGTTCTTATGAGAAAGGGTACACAGCTTAGTTTGCGTGTTTATTCGTTGGTTGTAATCAGCGAATTACGATGAAATTTTTACCTGGGTCTTTGGACTAAAAGCCGTATAGATAAAATTTGTTTTGTTCTGAATCATTCCGGAACCTTAAAATCGTTATCGATTTTCTCGAGTTTGGACTAAAAGCCGTAGAGATAAAATTTGTTTTGTTCTCAATCATCCCGTTACCTTAAAATCGTTATCGATTTTCTCGAAAGTAGCACACCGTAACCTACTTAGTGCAAAATACACAACTCTTCATTAAATTCTATAATGTTTAGCCAAATTAACTTATAATGTTTTCTTTACATCAAATGTGTAAACTGAATCCATTTAGGGGAGATCAAGTATGTTCACCCGCCCGCCCGCGTGTTTAAACTGGAGGAACAATGAACGAATTTTGATTAAATTTGCGTTAGATATCCTTACAGAGTTTGTACGGCCACTTCGATTTTTATAAACCTTCATATTATAGGGTTATAATTTCATAAAATAACACTGCATAAATTCAGAGATATAAGAGCATTCAGAACGCCGAAATATAAATAACACGCGGAAACTGCGTTCCCCAGTACGGAATTCATCTTTCCAGTCATAATTTTAACATTTGAAGAATACTCAGGGGTAACTAAAGAAAATCACCAGAGACCTTAGTCAGCGTCTCGGTCCAGATTCGAATGGGTAACCTTCTAAACACGAGTCGAGAGTGTAACTGGTTCAGAGCATTTGCTTGGTATCGAGAAATGTGAAGTACGAGCCTGGTATGAGACTTAGTTCTGTGTTAAATTAAAGCTCGTTTATACATATAGTAGACAGTGGATCTCTATGATAAGAGTTTTGGAGTTTCGCTGCGTTCTTAATTAAGAAGCAGCACATTAAGAATTTTAAAAACAGTTTGCTGCCTGTAGAAGATACTTTTCTGTGTCATTTCGTAGCCGGATTGTAATGTGGAAGATTTTTTATTATTATGCATTTAACGTTTTATTTGTATTTTTCTCCCTTTATTGCGTAACATTTTGTATTATTAACCCTAGTGCTTGGAAAAGGAAGTTAAATATGCTGCCTTATTATATTTGTGGGGTTCATTACTGTGCTACTTTAATTTACTGTGGTGATCTACTGTATATTGCAAGTGACTCTGTGGCCAACCACAGCGTCTTTAAGAGTATCTGTGATTTATGTAATGAGTCTCTACGCAAGCACAGTGATTATACATTATAACTGCTAACAAGAATTATTGCTATTATATAGAAGTGAAGGCCTTCGCGTACTTAATCTTTTATACAAATTGTTAATTTATATTAACTTAGATCAACGACGCATAATTTGTTATGAAATTATCATCTGTGGTATACATTACAAAGTACAGTATGTCAGTAGAAGAATATGTGTTTATTGAACGACGCTTGTCAAGTCTGTTAGTTTATAGCGTCGAGTAAAAAGTAGCTTGATTATTATGAGCGGTGAGTTTGAAGAATGTAGAACGAAGATGGCTATTCTCTGGGTTGTTGTGCTGTGTAGTCTTGTTGCCCTTATTTTGGAGGCAGCAAGTACCTCTGAAACGTCGGTAAACTTCTACAAGACTGCTTGCCGCCCTGCAGACCTGATGGTGGCTGAATGTCGGTGCACGTCTTCTTTTCTGTCTCGCATGTTGTCTACCCCTGATACACCTCATTATCACACACTTCGCAGACATCTCTGCTGAATTCTTCAGATAAATCTCATATCCGATGTCTTTGCTGTGGTCTTTTGTCAGATGTGAACAGCAGGGCTTTGATCTTGTCGAGGGGAGTACAGAATTCCGCCAGGAGGCACTCTCGAAGAAACGGAGAGCACATACATAGTGTGCCTCGAATGTGTACTGGTTGGAGAACCAGGTTCAGCTTGAAAGTAAGAAGCTGTATAGTGACGTTGCTTGCCTCACATTAAATAACAAGACGCTGAGGAAATACATTTTCTACTTCCATTCACATATTGCAATTTATATATAGAGTCTAGCAGAAATTATAGATGTTATAGATCAATAATCGTATATTATTTATGTACTTATATGTTTAATTTCTAGATGTTTAAAATCTCACTTCCAGATGGTTTTAAATCGTAGCCTCAAAATTTTAATCGTGTTTGTAATTTTATAAACTCCATGGAGGAGTGTCCTTTTTTGAAACCTGATGGTCGCTTAGCTATTCAGTAAATGCCCCGCGCTTTATGGAACCCGAGTGTTTAATGCCGTATTCACAAAAGCCTGTCACTAGTCCCCGTATTAGACGAGATTAAACCAGTCCATGCCGTCACAGTATATTACTTTAAGTCCCATTTTAATATTATTCCCACATCTACTCCCAAGTCTCCCAGTGGCCTCTACTTTTCAGATTTATCGGCTAAAATTGTTTATTCATTTATTATTGCGTAACATGGCACCGTTATTTACCGTAATGGCATTTAGTGTAGTTATTACACATTATTATTATTATTATAGTATAAATATTGGATAAGATTGTAAATTATACTTATTTTTTTCGATCTTCATAAGTCAACCATGCAAATCTTGTCGTGTTGGTATTCATATGCTAGTGGTCTCAGTACGATGCATGTGAGTTTCAGAGATATTAGCGTGTTGTATTCCGTGGGGGATGAGTCAAAACATGGACTCGTTAGTGGCGTTGTAGCATCAGTGCCTGCCGCCCTACATCTCACTACACGCTTACTAAAGTGCATTCCAATGTCAGCATTCATTCCCCTAAATACGAAATGAAAGTGTTGGTGTAGGTACTGTTCTTTTTACATTCTGTATTTGTCTGTGCTTAATTATACAGATATATTGGTTTTAAAAACCTGAATGGATTGTAAAACAAATGAGTTAGCTTGTTTTGAAAGGATTTAAAGTCAAATATTTCTGTCTTCTCGGTTGTTGAGCTGTGTAGTCTGGTCGATGTTAACCAAAAGTTTCAGAGGTCATACTGATGACGGAGGCAGTATGACCTCTGAAAGTTGGTAAACATCGACCAGACTACACAACGCAACAACCCAGAAGACAGAAATCTTCATACTCTGATGATGGAGGCAGTATGACCTCTGAAACGTTGGTAAACAACGACCAGACTACACAGCGCAACAACCCAGAAGACGGATATCTTCATACTCATCGCCCTGATGATGGAGGCAGTATGATCTCTGAAACGTTGGTAAACATCGACCAGACTACACAACGCAACAACCCAGAAGACAGAAATCTTCGTATTCACCGCTGTGAAAATCTCAAATCTTACGGATTTAAAGTCGTCTTTGAATAATATGTACAAATGCTTATAATTCCTTGACTTTATTAACATGAATATTGTTACTAAAGCTTAAGCTTAGCGATTGTAAAAATATCACATGAGGAAAGACAGACGAGAATATCTGAACACAGAATTGTGGTTTTAATAGGGCAGCGTACTTTAGATAATTTTTCGTCTCTTCACTGTGGGGCTGTAGAAAACTGATAATAGGAACAAATTTACAGGGCTTCTGGGTCAGGTTCTGTTTGACACACAACTTAAATGCTTGCTGAGACGGCACCGTTTTGCGTACCTGATTGAATTGCACTTTTGACGTCTGAGAGCCATCCGTTTCGACTTGTTAATTTCATGCTATCATTTTTATGAAGGTGCTCATATGACATTGTTCTTTGTGCAGGTGCTGCTGTTCCCAGAGGAGGGGTGGGCTCGAAGTGCTTCCTCCTCTTACTGGACCCTGACGCCAGCTTGGTGGAGTCGTAGTCGCTGCAAAGTCGTAGAAGTAGCTGGAACCAGAAGGTAGGATTCCTTCTTCTTATCGAGCGCTTCGCAAATAGGACTTACAGCACACAGTATACCACGTGTAGGAAGCGTTCTTTGAGATAGTTCGCACATGACGACAGAGAAAGTGTTGTTAAGTGTCCGGTTTGCTGGGTTGTTGAGATGGGTAATGAAGTCGGTAACCTGTATAAAAGAAGCTAAGTATTTCAAAGTATGATATTTACATTAATAATACAATTTCTGTTTATGATTGCTAATCAAAACTGACTAAAGTAAACTAAAGAAACCATAAAACTAAAAAATTGGAACAAAACGTGTATAACAACAAACTAGCAACAATAATCAAAAGAAAAATGAAAACGTCACAAAACGAAATCCAGAAATGTAAAACCAAAAACATAAACCCAAATAACTAAAGCCACGGAAATAAAACTTAAAAGTAAAGATAAACCAAGAAAAACTAACCGAAAGACAAGGCCAAGAGATGAAATCAAAGGACCAAAACAAAGAGATTGAAATTAAAAAAAGTACAACAACGGAAACCAGGAAGCAAGAATAAATAAATTATTCAAAAATTAAAAATTTAACAAAGAACTAAGAAAATAAAAGATTTAGAACTGTAAAAAAACAAAGTAGTGAGGTTTTTTTTAAGTAAGACTACAATTTATTTTTCACATGTATTTATAAGAAACCGCCACAACACTGAATTTTAACCTGACATCAAAGACGGTGTGTTTTCCGGATACAAATTGTACTCTGTACATCCTCACATCATAATTTTGCGGGACCATAGGTGTTTTTGTTGCGTATTCAATCTCTGCTTGCAGCTACTGAGGGCAGTTGAAGCTGAAGAGAGGGGGAGAGAGAGCGAGAGAGAGAGAGAGAGAGAACCACAGGAACACTGAATATCGGGAATTTTGGGAAATAGGAAATGAGAGACGAGGATATGGAAGGGGACGGAGTCGTCGGGGAAATAGACCCTAAGGGGTGTGGGTTGTGCGACGCCAAGACCTTCCTTTAGAGGGAGTGACGTCGGGAAGGGGTGGAAGAGATAAGACCATCTACAATAGAAGCCGTGCGCTGGCGAGCGCAAGACGTAGGGAATTTTATGTTCCGTAAGAGGACCTGCCAGTTGTTCTGCTTGTGCGCTGGTCACAGGGAATGGCACAGACGACGGGAGGTAGGCGACAAAAGGGAGTGAAAATGTTTTATGGTGTTGAATAAGAAGGATGCAAAATGAATACTAGCAGGTCCTAGTCACATTTGGGAGCGGTGATTCAAAAAAAGGGTGGTTTAAAAAGTGGGATAAATGGTTGTGTTTTTCGTATGTTTAACTTTGCCGTGAAATTTGTAACATGTCTTCTCACTTAACTGTCTTCTTGGTTGTAGGACCGTGTCAAGTGGTAGGAAGTTTACTGACGTTTCAGAGGTGTTTTCTGCCTCCGTCATCAGGGTGATAAAAACATCACTCTGATGATGGTGGCAGAAAGAAACTGTGAAATGTCGGTAAATCTTTAGTGGACGGCGTTACAACTCAGAAGACAGCCATCTTCATACTCGACGCCGTGAAAACCTAAAACCCTCTAAATCCCGTACGGTTTTTTTCTTTATAATGAAAAATAGGCCTACATCGTGTCTTAGTTATAAAAACGTGTAACTGGTATTCGTATTTGATTTATTTTTATCGCTATAATTAAAAAATCTAAATTTCTGGAGAAAATAATAAGTAAAAAAATATATCTGTTTTATTAGCGGAGGCTGTGTACACATACAAACAAATAATGTCCCGTTCGACCTTGTACATCCATTGCAATCAGAAACCGTTAACAAACCTGCGTTTTTCAGAAAAGGTGCACATGTCTTATTCTTTGTTGAACGTATTTTTGTGTCTAAATTATGAACCGTAGCATTATCCAGGGAAGATATTAAAATTGAACGAACTCCTACAGCCAGTACATATTATAAGATGGGATCCTGATATCGAACATGATAACTAATGATGGTATTAGTCTATCACTAATCACTTGAAGATTGCCTTCATGGCAGAAACGTGTAGTAGACACTGAAATTATTTCAACACTGTCTTAATAATAAAACTGGTGTCAGAGTAATATATATTTACTTTTGTTGCATGGTAGACGGAGTACCACCATTAGTTATCTGGAGCCAAATGTACCCATTTAAACAAATTTCTTTAAATTGCTTAAATGGTAATGCATGTTCGAAGAGAAAATCGAACAGATGGCTGTGCCGGTCGTTTTATTTAAAGGAAACTCTTGTGAAAGCCACGAAGTTCGCTGTCTCCAGTTCAGAATGCTTTTGAACTCTCTGCGAAGTATTCTTCAATCGATTTAGCAATTTTACTCAATGTTGTTGACTCTGCACACTATCCACCTTAAAATCAGATTATTTTCCTAGAAGTTACTAGTTGGTGGTTGAATTTTTCTCACTTTAAAGAGAAAGAAAGTTAACAGAAAGAGACAGGAAAAATTAGAGGTAAAGATAATGGGGTCACAAGGGAAATGAAAGAGAAATGATGGAACATTTCCCAATAGACAAAACGTGAGAGCCAGATAAACACTGGAAAATGGAGTGCACATAAACCCAGGACACAATGTGTCTCTTGAAGAGAAGAAAGAGACACACAGAAAAGACAACAGGATAAAGAAGGACAAAGGAAATGAATATAACATTGTTACATGATGTAATGAAACACGTAAATTGTTGTCAGCAACAGACTACAAGACGTCAGATTAGATACGGTGAAGAGAGACTGGAATGTAAGTACTTAACATCGTCTGTTTATATATGATCCATGTTAAAAGATTAACAAGGTCATTGTTTTGCAGTGTGCCCTATCTCGCATGAAAGGCCTATGGCAGTGTGTTTGGAAAACATCAAGCTTAATAGAACACTACGTTGGAACTCGTTCTTTGCTCCTTGAAAGACCAGGGAAATCCTTTCCCAAATGTTCCAGCTACATTTACTGCAATGTAATATACCCTTGTTGACGTGAGTAGTCACTGAATTACAAAACTGGCCTCGAAAGCAACAGAGCGAATTTATATTTCATTTGTAGATATAATTTTTGCCCATTTGTTTAAAGACAAGACAAACTTTGCTCGCTTAATAAATGTGAGAAGGCCACAAACTGGCTAACAAACCGATTAACTTCATGATACAGATTTCTCACAGTCATTCAGTCTGTCAAGAATTTCCCAACTTGAAATAAAGCTTAAGAATCTTTGTTTAAAAGTGGACAGAGTCAACTAAAATAATACAAATCAAGAATTTCCCAAATTGAAATAAAGCTTAAGAATCTTTATTTAAATGTGGACAGAGTCAACTAAAATAATACAATGTTTAACAAATATCACTGTGATATGTTGTTAGAATATTTTCGAGTATTCCTAGCTCGTGTGTTTCATCCCAGTTAAGTGCAAAAATATTTTTTACGTGGAACGGCAACGTAAAATGTATCTTCCGAAGGGAGATTTCTGTTGCTCCCTGCTGATTTTTTTTTCCCCGTTAGATCCATTACCCCCAATAAACAACAAAATATTTATGCTTTAAAACATCGAAAGTAATGTAGGACATTCGAGGGGTAAAATGAAAATGTTTCATTGCGCAGTACAAACTAGAATTTATTTACAGCTTCTGTTCGAACGAATAACCCAAAATATATCGAAACCAGAGTAAGTGTTCTAATAGCCTCATTCAACGTTCGTATTACTTTTGAACCTGGGGTGGCTAGTGTGTTCTGATTTTTGTATAATTCTCTTTGTACTGCCATATTAAACTATTGTGTTACATTTGTTGTATTGCTTGATATAAGACGTGCACGGTATTGGGCATTTTACAATACTGGGATTGAAGGTTTATTGATGCAGGTCTTCAGTAGAATGTTCTCTGTTCAAGAAATCTTAATTAATGCTTGAAATATCCAAAAATATCAAAATTAATTATAAATCAGGGAAGGACAGGCGAAACAGAGAAAGAAGTAAGGCTAGTATTGTATTGCAGTTGTGTAAACATTTGACTGAATAACAGCTGGGGCCTGAAATCATGCCAGAAGTTCAGCACGTGACAAAAATTCCGATCGTGTAATGTCTGCATCTGTTCAAAATCTGAGGACTGTAAAAGTTTTCTTCATTTATGTTTTCTGAGAATTGGAGTGTAGGAGTTACAAGTTGAATGCTACCTGTGTTAGTAAATGTGTCTAGAAACATATCAGTGAAATACAAAATCTAAACAAAAGTTTTAGAGCCTGAATTTTCACAAATGCTTCATTCTACGTTTATAATTTCGTTATTATGTTTCTCCTTTTAGCGTCAGATTGTCATGATTTTTTTTATTTGTAGTGTTCTGTCTGCCGACAGGTCCATATGAACAGGATCCTTCCATCCTTTTCTCGGACTGGGACCTGTTCATATACGTTCGTGGCAGATGATCCAGAAGTGATTTGCCATTGCCTTCTTCTGTGTGTGAACGGAGTAATTGTTGGAATGCCACGGAGAAATCGGGGAAGCCCCCGGAGGAAAACTCCGTGTTGCCTAGACCACGGCCTTGCCCAACACAAGTTATAAATTCTGGCACCGCCGGGAATCGAACCCGAGACCCCAGGATTACAAGGCCAGCCTTCTAACCGCTAGACCACCGTGGCACCTATTGTCATGATATAAATAATTTAAGATACGTGATTGTGTGATTGTTCATTTATGTATTTCCTAAAATACGTAGAATTTATAAATACTGATATGGCTGGCTCAGGTTCTACAAGCATAACTTGTTTTATAATTATTTAACCATAAAATGTAAAATGACAAGAACTCGTATATGTTAAATGGCATTCTACATCTCCAAGGAAAACAATGTCGTATACTTGCTTACAAGGAAGAAAAACAGTCTTACCAATTCTGCGCTGTATGAATAGCTTTTTGCACGTATTTTATTTTAGCGATGGGCGTCTGTGAGAGGTTATGAATTAGTGCAGACCTAAATAATGTGCTTGTTATTTC